GTATCGGTGCATCCCCAATAAAAATGTACGCGGTCGTAAAAAGCTCTGAATACTCACCAGTTTCTTAGAATGTAAATTGCATGCAAAAGTAACAGAAAAGAAGTCAATAAATGTTAAAAAATAAAAATTTGAACATGATGAGAAAACTAAAAAAACCACAGAATTTGGTTAGGGTTAGCATTATTACCTCAAAGTCATCCTCATAGTCCTGTTCAGCCGGATCTTCATCATTGACAACCTGCAGAATGTAGTAGAAAATATCTTAAATACTTCTGTAAGTGTGCAGAGCCTCTTCGGGATGATGCAGCACTACAGTGAAGCTGAAGCTGAAAGTACTGTAGAAGAAAAAGAGTGCACAGCATGCAGTGCAGACAGTGGATGGCTCACAAGATCAATTCACCTGCAGTCGGTTCAAGCTTATTTATTCCAGTTTCACCTCATAACTTTATATACGCGGCAGCTGCAGCATGAGCTGAAATATGGTTTGCTTTCATGCAAGTAAAGGAATTGTAGCTGTGGGTTCAAACTCCATTGTAACCGGCGTGAGAAAATATATAGTTTATGTTCAGCCAGTTACTAATGGGAGTAAGAAAAATGCACCACCAAACAAAAAGCAAAAGTCCCCACAGCAAAGTAAGAACGCATCTTACAGGCTCCTCTGTGTCTCCTGCAGCTTTCACACTAGCTGTCCAGTCTTCAGATACTTTTGCTACATCCTGCATCACAACAATGACACATGGAGGAAAAAGACACGCAATCCGTTAGGGAGGAGTTAGGAGCTACAGGTTTCAGTAAACAGGCGACTTATAGACGTACAAACCTCAGTTTTAGTCTCGTGTCTTTGACTTTTGTCAGACGCTGATTTCTTAGAGCTGTCCCTGTCTCTGTGATGACTTCTGCCTGCGTCCTCCTCCTCTCTGTGCTTTCTCTCTTTGTGTTCGTCCCCTTCGGCTCGCTCTCTGTCGCCGCGGTGATGCCTGACCTCTTCACCTGACCCCTTCGAGTCTCGCTGCCCTCTGGATTCACTGTCGTGCTTCCGCTTTTCATCCTGGAGAGAACAGCAAAATCCACACGAGGTTAAAACGATGATACATCAACCCGTGAAGATGAGGGACGTCAGCACAATGTTAATGTTACTGCGGATGCTTACAGGATGTCCTCTCTCTTTGTGCCGCCTCTCTCTCTCCTCTTTATGTCTTCTATGTTCTTCTTTGTGCTCTGAAATAGGAAAGATATCAATGTTATAAGGAAATAATAATCCTAGTTAGTAGTACACACAACTGTGGCCTTACCTCTTTCCTCCTTCAGTTCCAGATGCTTCCTGTCTCCGTGTCTCTCTCGTCTTTCTTTGTCATTCCTCTTGTCTTCGTCATCTTTGTGTCGCTCTCTCTCTCTACGCCGATCTCTCTTCTCTCTCTCGTGCTTTTCTAACCGATCTCTTTCCCCCTCTTCGCTTTCCCCGTGTCTCCTTCTCTCCCTCTCTCTGTGCTCTCTGTCCCGCTCTTCTCTCCTTCTTTCCTTGTCTCTCTCTTCCCTCCTTTTGTCCATGTACTCCTCGTTGCGTCTCTCCTTGTCCCTTTCCCTCTCTTTCTCCTTCTCTCTCTCTCTGTCCCTTTCCCTCTCTTTCTCCTTCTCTCTGTGTCTTTCCCTGTCCCTCTCCCTTTCATGCTTTTCCTCCCTTTCTCGCCTCCGGTCTCTGCTCTCCTTGTGATCATCGTCGTACCTCTTCCCATCCACCAACTTGTCCCTCTCCCTTCTTTTCTCCCTCTCATCTCTTCTATCCCTCTCCTTATCGCCTCTCCTGTCCCGGGAGCCCTCTTTTCGCCGATCTGCATGTCCGTCTCTGTCGTCTTCATCTCGTCTCTCTCTCGTGCTCTCCCTGTCCCTGTGCTTGTCTCTCTCTCGTCTGGACTCCTTCTCTGGGTCTCTGCGGCGTCTCTCTATGGACTCCCCTCCCCGAGGCTTTCTCTCATCAACATGCCCTTCCTCCTAAGAAATGAGACAACAAAAACCTTTTACGGGTGGGATTTTGCCTGTTGATACTGATCCAGCCTCAATCACCACCTCCTGCAATGTTTTCCTAAACTCTCAAAAACTTACCCTGATGTGTCTCCTCAGGTCAGCTGGTCTCCATGTGTCTTCCTTGGTTATTTTCTATATAAACAGGTTTATACGTTCACTAGATGCCCATATCATTTAAAGACAACATACACTGTTTTTATGACATCAAAACAACTCAATGGCAATAAGTAAGACAGCGTTAATGTCCCAAAATAACTACGGTCCGATGATTACAACAGCGGACATGACATTATCTACTGAATATACATTTCCCAGCTTTAGTCCGCAGACGGTAAAGTCAAAGATGAAGCAGTTACCTTGTCGCTAGGCATGTTCTCATCTGTGTTTTTATTTCTGAAGTCTCTCAGTCGCCGAAAATTAGCTCGTATTTTCGTAACGACTCCGCCATGATGCTAAATCGCTAGTGCGCAAGCGCAGTTTGTCGAAACCAAGGAGATCGCGTCACTTCAGCTTGACAACAGGCGTGTTAATCGGCAACAGAGCAATCCGTGGCATCAACAGCGAGTTGCCGTAGCAACCGTCAACGACTTTATTGCTAAATGCGTCTAAAAGACCGCATGGAAATGTTTTAATGTTGTTTAAACGAGTATAACTATCGACACGAACGCCGCCGCTGCTGCTAGCTGTGTTTAGGTTCATTTTTGATGTTTGCTGCCCATAAAACGAGTCTGCTGATCGATTTCTCTGTGCTCGTCATTATACACCCGCTCCTACCTTAACGGCTCTTGGCATTTGATCCCAATATAATTTATTCAGCCCGCTTTTCCGGATTTTTCTTGCTGTTTTGATATAATAATAATAATAATAATAATAATAATTGTGTATTTATTTACATATATTTAAAATAATAATAAATAAATAAATAAAAAAGTTAGGTAGTAAGACACATATTTGGGATACTACCAATGTGTTTGTTTTCTTCCATATATTTTACAATTCAGATGTGACTTACAGAGATGTATATATGTTACAGTATTACAAACATATAAAATACAAACAAAGTGAAATAAAGCTTTGCCAGGGGAAGACTTGTAATGCTACATATAACAAAAAGAGAAAAGAAGGACCATATATGTGACATACTCCACTTAACCGCCTTTTTGTTGTCGGAGCCAGAAATGAAATTAATATAATGCACAACTTCATGGAGAAAAAGTACAAAATTGTTTTTTTTACTGTTGAATTTACATTTATGAATGTGGACTTTTGCCCACAGAATTAATACATTCATAATGAAGTACATATTTTCTTATATTTTAATTTAATAATAGCTATTCCACATGTCCCTGTCGTTACCGCTGTGTATAACTCCTTGCTGTGTTTACCGCCACTGACCACCAGGTGGCGCTGTTTCTCCTCTTTAGCTCTGTTTACAGCCTCCACTGAGAGCGCACGGAGCAGGATCCCTGTGCGTTTTTTTTTTAATTTCACTGTGAACTGATCATTTGTGACCTGTGTAGAGACAGAGAGGAGTACCAGCCGTGGGCCTTGGACTTGGACTCAGCTGCCCATTTTAACCAAAGGGGGGGGATGAATTATCAAGGTTTTAATCGCTACGGAAACTAAAGTGGTCAATGCCAACGATTCCTCCGAGGGCGATGGGCTGGTGTGCAGGTGAGCCAACGTGAGAGTCCGCGTAAGGAAGCGCGTCGGTCCGGTGGCACATGGGAACCGTGTGTCACCCCAAATCCTCATCCGCATTTTATTTTTATATATGAGTTAATAGACGGACCCCGGAGCGCAGACAGACATGTCTAGAGACAGCATGACGGATGTACGAGGAGCCCATTCACCCAGTGCTTCACCTAAGGAGAATGGACACGCCGTGGCGAGCCCCGTTCAACCCAACTTTCCCCCTCCCTCAGCGGGGAACGTACCCGAAGACAACCCGGTGTCCTCCACAAGCGAGCTGACCCAGACTTGGGTGCACCTCGCCAAAACGTTTGTTCTCATTTTCCCCATTTACGCGCTGGGATATTTTGAGTTCAGCTTCAGCTGGCTGCTGATCGGACTTGTTATCGTTTTCTGGTGGAGGAGAAACACAGGAGGGAAGCACAGCCGCCTTAACAGAGCTCTGGCTTTCTTTGAGCAAGACGAGAGAAGTGTCCAGCAGAGTCTGACCACCTCTGATTTACCACCATGGGTAAGAACACACTGTGACATACGGTGGATTAAATGAGCATTTAGGTGTTATTGTGAGCAGTATTTTTGAGTTTCCAGGAAAAGAGAAAATGAAGCAGGAGGAGCAGAGTTGAGCTGTAAAGCTGTGATGGAGCAGCTGTTCTCCCCCCTTACACACCCCCCCAGCAGCAGTGACATTAGTCCCAGTCTAAATACAGCAGGGTACAATGGTAAACCAGACACCACGCTGGAAAGGAAACATGCCCACAGGGTCCCTGTTATTTTGGGATCCAGACTGCAATCTCTCGCAGTCACTCACTCTGTTACTGCAAGACTTGTTAGATAACTCTGTGGTTCTTGACTTCTCCTCCTCAGAGTTAACTCAGACCTCCATCAAAGACCACCAGTGTGTAATCAGAGAGGCAGCAAAGGCTGAATTTACCCAATAATAACACAATAATACATCATATTTAAAAGATATATGTGTTCAAAGATTAACTGGACTGCACTGTTTCCCCCAAAATGAGTCATTTTTGTCACATAGCCGTGTGTTATGTGACTTTTCTCCAGCACTATGAGAGAGGTTTGTAAAACACCATGTAATCCATGTTGTTAACCTGCTGTCTATACGGAGCTGGATTGTAGCACCAAGGGAATACATGTCACACTAAATGCCTTTTCTTTTTTTGCTAGAGTAAATTAATGCCTTTTCCCTTTATGAGTGTCATTTAAAGTCCATATTTATGACTGATGACTGATTTCAGGACCAGATTATCTCAGGAAAACTGTATAAATTGCATTTAATCGAGCGCAATCCGAGAACAAAATACGGCCTCAAGTTTCAGCTAAACCATAAATCCAACACTTTTCCACATCACACTCCCTTCACTCATAACTCAACTGGTTTGTGATGTCCAGCTGGAAACTTAGCAGGAAGCTTATTTTGCTGACACATGGCCAAGGAGGCATCGAGGCTATTAAATGGGGATGGAGGAGCTAGATGAGGGAGAGCACCAGCATCCCACTTAGAGGAAAGAAAAAAGGCATTATTGAAAGGCCTCAGCAACCTGCAGGGTTGATGGAACGAACTGCAAGTCGAGCATTAATGTGTAATCCTGGTCATATCATGTGTGGCTGTTCCTGAGCATCGCTGGGAATCTCAATCACACCTTTTCTGAGGCTTTTAGTGATTAGCATGTGAATAGCTGAGCACATATCTCCTCATCGATTCTGCCCTGTCATCAGGGATTGAGAACTTCACCTGTTTTGGCTCGTAAATCTCTGCTAGTGCCCGCTTCTTCTTCCCCCCTCACTGAGAGTGTTAATAGACATGTCACTGCTTTCACAGAAAAAAGGTTTTTTTTTTTTAGTTAAGTGGCCCCATTCCCAAACTTCTGTTGCTGAAGTGAAGCCCTCCTTGTTCCAGTTTCTACCCTCAGCTGTACTCATCCAGAGTGAGTCATTGGCTGGCTGGTGGAGCAGCTACTTACACTAAAAGTAATGTTGGAGGTCTTTAGTTTAATTCACACAGGAATAAAACTGCTGTTATATTTATTATTTGATGATGTTTTTTTGGTCTGCTTTAGGCATCAAAACGGTTCCATCTAGGGTTAGGGTTAGCCCTAACCCTAACCCATTTATCTTTCCTCACATACAGAAATGAAATGCTGAGTTATAAAGCTGTTGTATATTTAAAAAAGAACTACTACTAAAGCCACTATTCGTCATCAATCTTACAATTTAATTATACGTAGAATATTACATATATAATTGTTTTAATGACCCCTGGGACATAAGCAGTAGTAAAGAAAGAGGCCAATATGCTGCTTTACAAACTTGATTTCAGTTTTGATTTCAAGTGTGGTGTTTAGAGGAGTCAGACAAGACAGGACAAGATAGATGAGATAAGATGTACCTTTATTGATCCCCCCTGTAAGTTAGACCCAGTAGCATAGGGGAATGTAGTACAAAGAGTACAGAAGTCTGAGAAGACAAGTTTGAAAGGTGAGCATCATGTGTCTGAAATCAGCAGATTCCACGTGTCTGCTGTATCTCTGAATGTACTGCTTTTGTGCTTTCTCAAGATATAAATATGATGCCTCTTTAACTATATAATGTCCGGTTCATAACAAGTTTGTATATCCAGTTTGTCCTGATTACTTTCCAGACTCGGTGTGTTAATTTCAGGCAGTTTGAACTCAGGGGGATTAATCCTATAGTTTCAGCAAAAAACACTAATTACCCTCTCAAGACGTGAACGACAACCCAGCGACGGGATGAATAATTAAGATGCTTTTCTCCCACTCTTTGCTCTACATCTCAGTTTTCTCATCCGGCGCTTTAAAACACGTCCTTTTTGAGTATATCATCCATTACTTCACCTACATTTTCTGAATAAGGTCACTGTGTCAGCTGTAATGACGAAGCCTTGCGTCCCTTTCCAGAGGTTTACATTATTTCCACCTCAAACTACAGGCCTGAATCTGTCACATTAACTAGAAGTTTCTGTTCCCAGTCTTCCCGCTCTTGTCACTGCTTCATCCACTACGTTGACATAAAAGCTGGATAAGCACTTTATGCTGCCTCCATTAGGAATAGTGCTGTCCCCTGTAGCTGTCATATCTCACCAGCACTCCGGCCAGACGCGTCACTTCATCTTACTGTTGAGATTAGGGAATAAACGACTTCAATTCAGCTTGATGGAGAGCCAGGGTTGTTTATCTGTTATTTATTAAGGTCTGTGTGTGTGCATTGCTGCGCTCCTTTGTGTGCGGTATTGACTAGACATTTCCTTTACATCATGTTAAATCAATGTCCAATTTGCTTTGGTCTTTCAGTAGGATTAGTCAAACCGCAGCCGTGGAGATTTGTGGCTTTCTAAGTTTACCTGTGAATTCGAAAGCGCTGGACAAATAATGCAAATAACACAAATGCACTTTCAAAATGTGAGGAGAAATACAATACATCTAAGCTTTGCACTGATAACAGACAGAAGATAAAGGTTAAAGAAAGGTCATGTGATCAATGCATCCTTCAGGTAGAAATAAAAACTGTGGAATATTTCAGTGACCTTTTCTTGAATGTTGTTTTGAAAAGTCTTTTTCATCTTGTCTTTACCTTCATCTTCTTTCTTTTATATCAAGCAACCACTCCATCTCAGAGAGAGCTGCTGCAACAAATGGTCTCATGCATGGAAACCCAATAGAAACACGCTCCGCTCTCTCTTCTTTGAATTGTTTTTTTTTTGTAGCGATGGTGTGATCAAACAGCCGTATTGCTAGCTGTGTAGAATCCCATTTTTGTTTTTAATGTTTTGAACACTCAAGGGAGAAGACAAGAGTTGTCTTCAACCTTTGGCTTCTCTGTGTAGCAGAATAACAACCCGATAGCTTTTCAAAAATAGAACTTGACATTGGGGTTTGGAAAGGTGATTACATTTACAGGTTTGCACTACATACAACAGCAATTTTAAACTTTGTTTGAGCTGGAGTTTAGTAACAAAGCTGTCTGTCTCTAAAAACCGGGTGAATTTCCACTGTAGATTTCGGTTATAGCGACATGGCTCTAAGGATATGTGCTATCCACTATCCACACATCAACTACTGAACAGCCTGCAATGAAATTCAGTGCAGATATTTAAGGCGCCGAGATGATGACTCCTACTGACTTTGGTGATCCCCTTACATTTTCATTTGGTGCCATCATCAGATCTAACTTTCACTTTTGTTTATGACCAACAAAACATTCCCATCAGCCTCTGCTGTACTATGTGTTTAACTCTAATCAGCAAGTATTAGTGCTGACACATTTAAACCACAACCGTGACCATGATAAACATTTTACCTGCTGCACATCAGCTTGTTAGCATTGTCATTATGAACATGTTACCATGGTGATGTTAGCACTTAGCACAAAGCACAGCTGTGCCAAATTACAGCCGCACAGAGCTGCTAGTGTGGCTGTGGACTGTGCTTTGTTGTAATGATGGTGTAATTAAACTGTATTGCGTGTGCGTAACTCGCCTTTAAACATGTATCAGCATCATCGTCAAACTTTGTTGGAATATGTTCAAGAGAAATGTGACAAACAGGCTTTTCCTGAGGAGCAGCTTTGAAAGCTTTTCAAAGGAAAAAAGATTTGGTTCAGGATAAGGGATTCACTTTAAATTTGCACTACTTGGAAATAGTTTATAAGGGAATAGATGAGGGTTTATTTCACTTTTGGTTTTCATCAGGACGATTCTGCTCCTTGGTTGCTTTTTAAACTGAAAGCAAAATGACAATAAAAAAAAGACATTTAAATGCAAGCTTTCAATTTTACTGATCAATAGGATTTTCAAACATACAATATAAAGTCAGATTGCCTGTGTAACAAATCTCATCACATATATTATATGTGGATCTTGCCTTTGAAGATGCTGCATTATCAGGATTATAGAAACCGTCATAGACTTGAGATTATCTGCTCTGTTTTCTCCATTGTAGGTTCACTTCCCAGACGTGGAGCGAGTGGAGTGGCTAAACAAGGTAAAGAATTGAGCGGCTGTCTCTTGAATTTGTTTGCTTGAGCAAAGCCCTCCTTCTTGCTTTTTATAAACCTGAGTAAATGGGATGTCTGTCGCTCCTCTTCCCACTGGAGCTGTGGATGCTGCCACACTGTACACTGCAGCACATCTGACTAAAACATGCAGCCCTGTTTCCACCGTGCGGTGAAATGCATTTACCCCTGTGAATCCCCATGGCAACAACTTGGATGTACATTTTAAAGCACCCATGAGTACACATTTAAATGATATAGACGCTGAGATCGACATTTTATTTTGGTCCCTGCTTGATGTGTATGAGTCTGACTTAAATAGAACTACATTTTGAATATTTTAATTAAATTAAAAATTGTACTAGTTTGTGTATGTATTTGTGTGTGTGTTTTTTAATGTGTGTGAATGTAAGTAAGAAGTCATTTAACAAATAATAATACTAATAATTGATAATAAATATATTATTACAATATCTTAAAAAAACAGTCAACATTGCAGATAGAATTAGGTTCTATTCTAATCTCTGTTTCCCCTGGTTGTTCTCAAGTCATGGCATGAGGAGGCTATTCTACATTTGGGTATTTCCCAGTAAATAGGGGAGTTTCTGCATGTCTGCATGTTTTGAATCCAATTTCATGGTGTTTTTTGTTCATAATTGAGAGGTAATCCTCTCTTAAAGATGTATATGTTGTGCATGAGGTGAGACAGCGTAGCTCTGTCTCTACCTGTCTTCACACTGGGAGTTTTTCTTCCTCTGGTAGCCAGCTCTATGTTGAGGTTGTGCACACTCAGTCTGTACATAGTTAAGACTTCTCTTAAATAAGTACTTTTTGTTGTGGTCAGACAATTTGCAAATGTGTATTCTCTGTTTAGGGCCAGATAAGAGCCTGATTGGGTTGCTTCTTTCTGTATCCCCTCAGACAGTGAAGCAGATGTGGCCCTATATCAGCCAGTTTGTGGAGAAACTCTTCCACGAGACGATTGAGCCGGCTGTGAAGGAGTCCAGCTCCCACCTCAGCACCTTCTGCTTCAGCAAGATCGACATAGGAGACAAAGTGAGCACCTCCTAGTGTTCCTGCATGGTTCTTAGACCGATCATGTGTTGTTTCAGCAGTTACAAAACAGACTACTGGCAGCAGGTGCCGCTGGGACAGCTGGTGAGGGTGTGTAAGCTCGAACGCGAATATACATGCACGCCGTTGACATATGTGCTTGTTTCATAAATAGTTTCCATGTGGGGTCACGAGAGGGGTCGACCTTGTACTAACCACGTGGGGGTTTAGTGGGGTTGGAGGTGTTGGTGTTGTGTTGATGGACTAGAGTGGCGCAGCGGCCATAATGTTTCCCTATGTTGTGGTGTAGCCCCTCAGGGTCAACGGGGTCAAGGTCTATACAGAAAATGTGGATAAGCGACAGATCATCATGGACCTACAGATCAGGTGAGCCTATCAGATCTCCATTTAAGTCATTACTGTTTTACCTCTGTAGCTTCTTTCTGATTGTGGTTTAAATTGTTTTTTACAGAACATGTGCTGAATGATTAAAATATCTCCATGAAAATGAATAAAACATGGAGTCACTATGGTGTCAACAGTTAATCAATGTCATGCCTTATTCTACCAAACAAGACCTTGAAAGTCCAAGGAACCCTGGTGCAGGATTTGTCTCAGACATATTTTGTGTTTTTGTCACGCAGCTTTGTTGGCAACACTGAGATTGACGTAGACATCAAACGCTACTACTGCAAAGCTGGCATTAAGAGCATCCAGGTAAGGATATTTCCTTTTTGTCTGGTTTGTTTCATGTCCTCACAGACGTACTTTCCTATGGCATGAGTCTTGGCCTCTACAATGGTTGTCAGAAAAGGAAAATGAAGTATTGGATGTAAAGTGGCACAGTGACTTTAGGTAAAGGTCTGTCCTGTCGGCTCCAATTTGAGAGGATTTGTCCAGTATTGGATGAACAGCAGCTTTTTTATACAGAATAACAGGATGCTGAAGGTAGTTGGACAGGAGCTTTTATTTCTTATTATTTCCGTGCAGTGACATCAATTAAATATTTGCATTTATAAAGCTTTCAGTATGAGACGCTGGTATGAAAGCACAAATTACTTGTCCTGTGTCTACCGAGGAAGCTTTTGTAACTCAAGGCCCCTTCAAAATACAACAATGCCTTCTTGCAACCCTTTGTCACAGGTTACATACGTCTAAACGTTGTGAACGGTTCGAGCAAAGTCATTTTCTCCTCTGATTGTTTAATTTGAGATAATAATGAAGAGGTAAAACTATTCAAATCTGAAAAAAATAACTTAGTTTTGTACTGCAGACATATTTTTATTTCTGCCTTCCTCTCTTATTTATTGTCTTGCAACCCCCTTTAGATTTATTATAAGACCTCTTGGGTGGGTCTGTAGTTGGGAACTTCTCTGCAGAACTATAAATATAATCAAATACAACAGTGGCTTAAGAGATAACAAAACAAAAACAGAAACATAATACAAAAGGAGACCGTAAAGAATCATTATAGGAAGGTTTTACTGTACAAGTTAACTTTGAATTACTGTAAAAGATTATAAATATCAGACTAGACTGACCCCCTCCTCTATAAAATGTATCTATTAATATCCTTGAGAAGACTCCCCTGCTCTTTCTGTAGTGCCTGACTATATAAGTGTGTGTATTATTGTTCTTGTATGTCCTTGACCCTTCTGTGTGTTGCTGCAGTGGAACAAAGCAGGCAGCAAAAACAATCAGTGCGCCTCCTTGGAGACCGAGTGCTGTTAGATCTGTCCCTCGGAGACATTTGTTGCTCCCATTATGTAACTCAGGCAGACCTACATATCTCCCCAGCTCATTATCAGCCACTAATACATTAGTCCCATCACTCCTTGAGCTGGTTTACATTACACAGAGCAGGTGCGTTCGACTCCCTGATAGCACTGAGATTACTGGTGGCTTTGTGTGGAGTGGGGTTAAACGCTGGCTGATATTAGGCTTTTATCATTTATTTAATATCAGCCTGTCGCGTGGTCCCACTACTATGATGAAGGTCCACTCCTCAACTGCAGCTACTGTGCATAAAAGGCCTGTTAAACCTGCAAATGAGTTGCATTTTCTGATTGATTTTAAGTTGCAGTCATTTTAGAAGATGAATCCATTATATGAGATCTTTTAACTGTCCTTTTTTCAGCGTACGTCACCCTGCTTTTACGACACTGTTAGTGCTAAATACAGATAAATCAATACTTGGAATAAATTTGTAACACCGTTTTCTAAAGCAGGAACACACAGAAAAGATGCATGACTGTATAATTACATTGGGATTTAAGATTTTTGTCTGAATTCTTGCATTTAAAATGAGGCTTTAAGTCTTGCTCATACCACTTAGAGTCAAGGATATGAAATTCATTTTAGTTTCCTGGCTTACTGCCTGACTGTGTCATTTTCTAAGAAGCTGATTTAATCTGGCAGATGACAAAGTGAAGGATCAGTTTCCCAGTTTTTAGTTTCAGGAAATAACGTCTCAAATTTACTTTGTCACAGAAATGACAAGCAGTCTTGAAATGAAAGCGATTATATTTGCTTCCTTATTGGTATTATTAGTCACTGGCATAATTGCTGTTTCAGAGGCCAATATTTTCTTGTTATCCGTCCTGAAAATACAAATATAGCCTCAAAATAAATATGTTGGTGCTAGAATTTAAACAACCTTTGTTCCCTGGTGTGGATTAGAGCAGCTGTGTGGTGTCCACATGACACTTGTAAAGCACTTCCAATACCATAATCCCCGTAATTGTCATAATATGTTATGGAGAAGGTGGAGGATAACACGGGGGCAAGTGTGAAGTCGGCCTCTGATCGAGTTTCCAACCTGTCATGTGTTACAGCTAACAGCACCACCGCTGAGGAATGTCAAGGGCCAGCAAGGCGCGAGTCCCCTTTAGCTCCCTCTTTTTGTGTATGTATGTCAATGTGTTCCTCTTGTGTTTCCATAGATACACGGCGTGTTGAGAGTGGTGATGGAGCCACTGCTGGGTGACATGCCTCTTGTCGGAGCTCTGTCTGTGTTCTTCCTCAAGAAACCAGTAAGTCCAGACGCTGATAAGAGTTAATCCAATTAAACTTGTTTAATGGAGCTGCAGTGGAAGTTGTAATGACACCGCAGTCTGAATAAATGACTTGTGATCAGAGCAGAGGCTATTAAACTGGGATTTGTATGTTGAAATACAAAACCAAGTATCTCCTAAATCTTTTTCCAGCACCTGAGATGGCACAGCAGTGTTACACATTCAGGGTTCTACTGTTATTTTACATGGCATTTGAAAATAATGAGGACATTTTACACTGCTTTCTTTTTGGTTCCTCATATTCACTATTTTTTGTCAAGGTTGGCCCCATTTCTGTGAATATCACAAAATTTCCTCAATATCTTTAATACCTCAGTTTGGTTCTCTGTGTATTATATATTCTCAGTAAATTTTGTAATATCGCACCTCATAAAACGAATTGCTCCTTGTTTTTTTTGCTTTGCTAATCTCTTTTCCTCATTGAGGCAGAAATAATGGTCGTAGATTGGACTTTAAATGTTAATTTCACAAGTCAAATGTGTTTCTTAATTCATCTTCATTTTACAGCCCACACTTCCAGTTTAATTTCAGTTTGTTTTCCTTCTGTGGCATTGCCAGTGGCACTGTCGCCTATCCTCTTGCAGCACTCTAAATCACTTTACACAATTTGCATTTCACATTGCCAGTTGTTTGCATTTTCCAGCGCACATTGGTCAATCTGCTTGTACAACCCGTGTGCACAGCCACTGCTGCACAGCTTAAAAATGTTTGACCGATTTATTCCAAATGGGAGGACCCGGTGGAACTACAGCACAGCTTTAAATAGCTGCAGATCAAGCCAGCCCTACTTTGGCAGATTTCTCTACCCCAGGCACTCAGCTAAAGCTCAAGGTGGAGATATTACTGTAGGAGGTTGAATCCAGTAAATCATGTTGCAGTCCCACATGTATACAGTCAGTCTTCTTCTTGCTTCTCGCCTAGGAACATTACATTGTTATACTGGAGGAAAGAAAATAAATTCCAAAAGCAATTTCCTGTGGGCAAAAAAAATCACGCCGTTACATATCCAAGGAATCCGAATAACTCATCGCGCTTCTTTCAGCGTGCCATACAAGGCCTGAACCTGGCTGCCAAATAAAATACAAACATTTCCAGACCATAAGAGGTCTGGGATACAGTGGCACTGTGTGATCGCAGCAATGTGAGCCAGTGCAATGTAAATAAAAAGATGTGTAACACATTCTGCTGTGGGACCTCTACAGAAATGTTATTGCTCAGGCTCAGTTAGGCAGTCTCACACTTTGAACAAGACAGATGGATGATATTTGCTCCATACTACAGGTTATATTGTGAACATTCTTTACAATATCCACTAACGTACGGACTGATTAAAGGCCCAGTGTGTAGCGTTTGGAAGAATCTACTGGTGGGTCACCCTCCACGGAGTCCGCCATGTTGAACCGCCATGTTTCTACAGTAGTATACGCATGCCACTAAATCCTACCCACTGTGTCTTTATTAGATTGAATTTATTGATCTATTCTTTGATTAATCAGTGAATCTTTAAGCTGTCCACAATAATGACAACATTTGATGTCTGAAAGGAGTAGTTTGAGATTTGGGAAGTAATGGATAATTTAGTCAATAAAAAAAACAGATTATTTTGATAATTGTAATCAATCCTAACAAATACCCAACATTTGTGGGTTTCAGCTTCCCAGCTTTGGGGATTTAGTGCTTTTATGTTTGATATCATCCTTAATTAATAGGATAAATCAATGATTACTGTTTTTTAATCGACTGACTGATTTAGTGTTTTGCTATTTCTTGCTTGATTACAGGCCAGTTTTTATTTTTGGAAGATAGTGCTGTTTTTTTTTTTATTACCTCATTGTTAAGTCTTTTGAGATCTCCAGAGAAGCGAGGCAGGGGTGTGTCCCTCCAAACCACATTCCCACACCACTCAGACATCCCCATCACATCATTCAGAGCCCTGCAGTGCTCCCCTCTCCCCTGCGGCGCTCGGTGCATCTGCTGCAGTGTAAGCAAATCGGGCAGAGAAGTAGGGTGGGAAAGACTCATTAAGAAAACACAGCTACTTCAGCTTAGAGGCAGAAACAGATCAAAGCACACTGAGAGGCAGGATCTGCCTGCACTTCAGGTCTCAGCCGACGCTTTTCACTCTTACTTTCATATCATTCTTCTTCCCTTTCTCTTGTCCAAATGTGATACACCTTCTGCCAGTTTTACCCAGAAACTGAATGGAAATTGATTGGTTCTGTGTCAATTTTTGACTGGAGAGTAATTTGTTAAAACTGGTACTTTGGACCACGGAAAAATTCACTGTCCCTGACCTCATTATACACTAAAAACTAATCCCCAGAGGGTTGCTGTTGCTTTTATAAATATTTTAGTAAGAAGGTGTTTTTGTATTCATTTCCATCGGTGGATCGGTGCTTTCTGTCTTATTGTGACTCATAAACTGTTGCTAATTGTGCACGCAGCATCCATTTAAACATTTAGAGGGTAATTTAAGGAGACTTAAGGTAAAAACAGTAAGCTTAAACATAAGAAAAGGCTGTTGTTGTTGTTATTTTATTTACATTTAATTGAAAAACTGGTGTGCAGTGGGAAAACTACCACCCAGAACCAGTCACATTTTTCTTAAATAATTGATAGGGAAACAGTATAGTAGCTGAAGTAGTGCTTTGTTTTCAAAATGGTCCAAAACAGTGGCAACTTATCCACAGAACTTTTGATTTATATTATTTTACTGCAACTTGTGTAGGACTCTTTGTCTCTGCTGTTATTAATCAGCAGGGTTTGTTGGCCAGAAAATAAGAAGCAAAGTCGTAAATGTAGCACAGAGGGCAGGAAACAATAAAGTTAAGTGTTTGGATTAATTTAAATTCATTCACGCTCTTTACTCTCACAGCTTGATCAACTTGTATGTTCTCCTTTCTTATTTTCTTTTAGCTTCTGGACATAAACTGGACTGGCCTCACCAATATACTTGACATTCCTGGTCTCAAGTAAGTCTGCTGAAGCTTTTTTTTTGTTCCTGTCAAGAAATGTCTTTGTTGGTGCCTGATTATCAAGTTTCAAGGGACAATAACTTATTATGCACCTGATACTTTATCTGGGTGTATTTCCATTGGGTGCTGTGCCAGCAAATTCCATGAAATGTACCGAAAGTATTTTCTGCTTTTTGAGTGTTTCCTTTCCTGCTGGATGCCTGGGTGTCCTTTTCCTTGTTACCGTTGTGACATGCAGTACATTTAGATGCTCACATTACTGTGAATAATCAGAATAACATCATAGTTTAACAGTCTAGGTGGGTTCAAACAGATCAGATCAGTAAATGTGCTGTTTGTGGCCTGTTTCCTCATTCTCCCTTATTTTGTCTCACTAATATTAAGTGTCTTTTCCCCCCGGGTAGTTGTGTGAGCCTAGCAGAGAGTAAATGAGAGTCGATTAAGAGTTGGTAAGAGCTCAACCCAATTACTCGCGGCTGTCTTGAGTGGTTCCTACATTATTTACGCCCCAAATAAAGTGACACACGCTTGAATGCCGCATGTGATTTTCTGGGATTACAGCTGCTTGTCACATACCCTGCTGATGTGGGCAGACATGTTGACACAGGCAGTGGCCCGCTCTCTGTCAGCTCTTCTGTTGAGTCCTCTGTGGGGGTGAAATGGATCCGCGCCACTTGTGCAATGCAATATATGTGTGTTTGTGCACGCGTGGCTGTGTGTGTGGGTGTGTTGGTTGTGCAG